ACCAGGACCGCAGAGAGCCCCCATCCTAGGCAGCAGACCCAGCCCACAAGCCTGGCTGAAGACCGCCCGCCCCAGCGATCCCTAGCCAGTGATGGAACACCCCTGACACAGCCCCCCCAGCTCCCTGACCAGGACACGGAGCCCCCACCGTCCCCCTCACCTCTGACCCAGGCTGCCGCCCCCTTCCAACCTCAACTTGAACATCAGACCTCCAGGGAGCCTGGCTCCCTACCCGCTATTGGGGGAAACCTTAGATACCCCCCAGCCAGAGCTATAGGCACCCCCTGATCCTCTGACCCCAGAGCAAACCCCACGGGACCCCCGATCACTAGGGCTCTAAGCACCACCCTCCAACCCATCCACTTAGGTCTCACCCCCTCCCCCACTGCAGGTCTCCTATGACGCCAGCGGCTTCTGCGAGAGGAACCGAGACGTCCTCTTCTCCGACCTCATAGAGCTGATGCAGAGCAGCGAACTGTGAGTGGTCCCGGGTGTGGGAATGGCGGGAAGACCACCGGGAAGCACCGCATCCTCCCCAGAGCGCCATCACCTGTGCTCGAGTTTCTCATTCATAGGTCAGGACTGGGGCCGGACAATGTCTAGCAAGTTCCCAGAGGATGCTGACTGCTGGCCCAGGGACCCCACTTGAGACCCACTGCTCTAGTTCTGTACTTTCCAATATGGCGGAAACTGGGCCAGGAGTTCGAGACCAGTCTGGGCAACATAGCGAGACCCTGTCTCTAAAAAAAGAAACAAAAAACCACTAAGTTGGTAAAAGGCTAGATTTTTTTTTTTTTTTTGCTTTCTCTTAATTTTGGTAAAATATACATACCGTAACACTTGTCCTTTTTTTTATTTGTGGAGACAGGGTCTCACTCTGTCGCCCAGGCTGGAGTGCAGTGACGCAATCATAGCTCACAGCAACCTCAAACTCCTGGGCTCAAGCGATCCTCTTGCCTCAGCCTCCCCAACAGCTGAGACTACAAGTGCATGCCACCACGCCCGGCTAATTTTTTAATTTTTTGTAGAGAGTGGGGTCTCACTATATTGCCCAGGCTGGTCTCAAACCTCTGGCCTCAATGCTCCCTCCTCGGCCTCCCAAAGTGCTCTAGTGAGCCACTGTGCCCAGCCAACACTGGTCTTTTTAGCCATTTTAAAGTGTGCAGTTCAGTGGTATTAAATACATCCACACAAAATGTTGTGCAGCCATCGCTACTATGTAGTTCCAGAACTCTTTTATCACCCCAAACAGATACCCCATATCCACGAAGGAATCCACTCATTTTCTGTTACGGAGGCTGAGGGAAAGTCTTACTGAGGAGGTGAGGGAGGGAGTCGTGAATGCAGCAAAAGTTGATGGTGGAACTTGGGATGCTTCCCATCTGGCTGTCACACACGGGGCTACAGCAGTGAGCATCTCTGTACATGTTTCTTTGCACACGCATACCACCATGTACAGGGAGAGTGGCTCCTGCCACAGGGACCTTCCCCTGCTTCCTGAGATGCCGCACCCACTGATCTAATTTACTATGCTTACCATGTCATTTAACTTCATTCTGTTGTACTTGCTATGTTACACGCACGATCTCGGAAGTTGTAAAAAGTGCACGTAAATCGAGGGACCAAAAGGACAAAACCAGCCGTCCCGGTCTCACCCATCACAGCACACACCCCACCCCCGCATTCAGAGAGAACTGAATTTTGCGTCGTGCCACCGAGGCAGCCCCACCTCTGGGGGAGGGAGGCTCAGAGTCCAGCTACGCCTCTAACCCCCACCCTCCCCCTGCCCAGGGCCTTCCTCCGGATGCTCTTTCCCGAAAAGCTGGATGGGGACAAGAAGGGCCGCCCCAGCACCGCCGGCTCCAAGATCAAGGTGGGCGCCACCCCTCCCCCACCACCTGGCGTCTGGACTCTGCTCCTCTCCTCGTCCCAATGTCTGTCTCTCTCCGCCCCCCGGGGCCTCTGCCTCTGTCTGTGTCATCCTCTGTCCAGCAGGGTCTTCCTCCAGCTCTGGGGTTGGGGGCTTGGACCAGCTTCCTTGAGGTCACCCTCAACTCCCTAACTCCAGAAGTGAACTGTCATCCTCGTGCATTTTTTTTTTGATCTTTTGGTTATTTGCCACTTTTTTATAAATTGTGGTAAAATATACATGACGTAAAATTTGCCATCTTAACCATTTTTTTCAGTGGCATTAAGCACATTTACACTGTTGTGCAGCCATCACCAACATCCATCTCCAGAACCTTCTCATCTTCCCAAACTGAAGCTCTGTCCCCATGAAACACTCACTGCCCACCTGCTCCCCGGCCCCTGGCACCCACCATCCTACTTCCTGTCTCTGTGGCTCTGACGACTCTCGGGACCTCCTGTGAGTGGAGTCACACAGGATTTGTCCTTCTGTGTCTGGTTTATTTTATGGAGCACGATGTCCTCAAGTTCACCCATGATGTAGCCGGTGTCAGAATTTCCTTCCTTTTTCAGGCTGAATAATATTCCAGGGTGCGGATGGACCACATTGTGTTTATCCGTCCATCCGTCCACGGACACCTGGGCTGCTTCCACCCTTCAGCTCTTGGGAATAGAGTTGCTGTGACCACGGGGGTCCCATTTTAATAACCATTTATTGAGCACTTACTCGGTGCTGGCAACGAACATGGGACACTTTACACACATGAGGAATTAACTTAGCCCGACCTGGAAGATGGGGACACCAAGGCTCAGAGAGGGGCGGCCACTCACCCAGGCCACACAGCAGAGCCTCACTTGACATTCCCCCCAGTGTTACCCCCTGGAATGACTCCTTTTCTGGTCTCCCTCCTTCCCCGAGCGACTAAAATGCACAATCCAAGGCTGACCCCTCAGGGACACGTGCACTTCCAAAGTACCCGTCTCCCGAAGGACAGGCAGAAGTGTTCTCCTGAGTGCTCTGTTACTCAGTCAATAAACGTTTCCTGAGCACATACTATGCGCCCAGCTAAATCACGAGTGCGGCAGCCGTGAACACTCCTAGTCTTGGGGTCGAGGGTCGAGGAGACACCCAACATCAGTCCTGCGTGCCGTGCACTGGTGGGGGATGCACAGACCAGGGGGGACACCCGGCCCCTGTGGTTCATCAGCTGCCAGTCCCCACCCACCCCTTGGGGCTGGATCCAAGGTGGGGAGAAGGGAGGGGCCAGAGGGGCCCATCTGTGTGTCCCCCACCTTCTCCTCCACCTCAGAAACAAGCCAACGACCTGGTGACCACGCTGAAGCGGTGCACGCCACACTACATCCGATGCATCAAGCCCAACGAGACCAAGAGGCCCCGGGACTGGGAGGAGAACAGGTGACAGCCCCCCACTGCCTGACCCCAGCTGATCCCCCGCAAGATCCAGCCTGAGACTGACTCAGGCTGAGCCCGGGATGCCCACAAAACCCCTCAGTGCCCTGGGGGACACCTGGAATGGACCAAGACGTCCCCAACCACCAACTTCAGGACTAGCACGGCCCCCCAGTTCCCCAGGCCCCCCCCTGCAGAACTGACTCCCACACTCACCCCTGAAGCACCCCCAGACCTCAGAGCTCATCCCTGGACCTCCCCCCAGGCCCCGCCTCCAGCATCTCCCACCCCCCAGGACAGGTGAGACCCTGCTGCGGGGACTCAGGCCGCCCTTCCCGCAGGGTCAAGCACCAGGTGGAGTACCTGGGACTCAAAGAGAACATCAGGGTGCGCCGGGCGGGCTTCGCCTACCGCCGCCAGTTCTCCAAGTTCCTGCAGAGGTGAGGCCCCCGCCCCCGCACCCCTCCCCAGAGCGACCAGCCTGCCCGTCTGCTCCAAAGCCTCACACGCCCTGGCCCTCTGCCACCAGGTACGCCATCCTGACCCCCGAGACGTGGCCGCGGTGGCGCGGGGACGAACGTCAGGGTGTCCAACGCCTGCTTCAGGCGGTCAACATGGAACCCGACCAGTACCAGATGGGCAGCACCAAGGTCTTCGTCAAGAACCCGGAGTCGGTAAGAGCGTGCGTGGGACAGAGGCCGCAGAGGAGAGAGAAAGAAAGGGAGAGAGCTGTACGAGAGAGGCTGAGAGGCCGGGCGCCGTGGCTCACGCCTGTAATCCCAGCACTCTGGGAGGCTGAGGTGGGAGGATCGCTTGAGGTCAGGAGTTCGAGACCAGCCTGAGCAAGAGCAAGACCCCGTCTCTACTAAAAGCAGAAAGAAATTAGCCAGGCATGGTGGTGTACGCCTGTAGTCCCAGCTACTCGGGAGGCTGAGGCAGGAGGATCACTTGAGCCCATGAGTTCGAGGCCGCAGTGAGCTATCATGACGCCACTGCACTCCAGTCTGGTAACAGAGTGAGACCCAGTCTTCAAAAAAAAAAAAGGAAAAAAAAAATTCTCAAGTGGCTTACCTGCCTCTTGGCCTTTATGACCCATAGCCCCAGGTGTGCTGGTTTGCTAGGGCTGCTATGACAAAGTACTACAAACCAGATGGCTCCACACGATGTCAAGTTTACTCTGTTCTGGAGGCCACAAGTTCAAACTCAGCGTGTTAGCAGGGCCACGCTCTCTCTGAAGGCTCCAACGATCCTTCTCTGCCACTCCCTAACTCGGCTGCCAGCAACCTTTGGCCTACCTTGGCTTACAGATGTGTCACTCTGATCTCTGCCTTCCTCTTCGCATGGCTTTTTTTTTTTTTTGAGACAAAGAGTCTCACTCCATTGCCCAGGCTAGAGTGCCGTGGCATCAGCCTAGCTCACAGCAACCTCAGACTCCTGGGCTCAAGCGATCCTCCTGCCTCAGCCTCCCGAGTAGCTGAGACTACAGGCATGCGCCACCACGCCCGGCTAATTTTTCTATTTTTAGTAGAGAAAGGGTCTTGCTCTTGCTCAGGCTGGTCTCGAACTCCTGGCCTTGAGCGATCCTCCCACCCCAGCCTCCCAGAGTGCTGGGATTACAGGCATGAGCCACTGTGCCCGGCCAACCTTCTTCTCTCTGTGTTATCCGGGTCCAAATTTCCTTCTTCTTACAGACGTCACATTGGATTCGATTTATATTGGATTAAGGGTCCACCCTAATGCAGGATGGCCTCATTTTAACTTGATTACATCTGCAAAGACCCTGTTTCTAAATAAGGTCCCATTGACAGGTTCCGGGTGGGCATGACTTGGAGGGGACACTGTTCAATCCAGTATACCCAGGACAAGCTCAGATTTACGTAGGTCTCCTGCCCCTTAAGCACGCAAAACCCAGCCCCCCATACCAAGGAGATGCATTTTAAACTCTTTAGACAATGAAGATTCATTTCCCAAATTGGAAACAGATCCTCTTCACTGGGCAGGAATAACCTCTCAGCAAACCACACCACACACTTATGACACCTCCAGCCGTGCTATACGCGGCCCTGCGCACGGACCCACAGACCCACAGCACGCTGCTCTGAGGAACAGAAGATACAATCTCCTCTCAGCTCCCTGCATCCTACGAAACTGCAATGCTATTTTTTTTCTTCCTAGTGGGACAACTTCCCACTTTTTAGAAATAGTTATAAACCCCTACAGCTTTGAAAGTCCTCTAAGATGTACATTTTTAAATGCATTTGAACCAAGTATCTCCAGAATTCTTGCAGGGAGCCCTAAGGTTGCTTGGAGACATCAGTTTGAAAACCACCTTGGTCAGAAAAGCAGTCAGCAGGGATCTTAGCAGCCAAGTGGCATTTACATACTTGAGAAATCCCTCTAGGTGAAATGCTAATTATTTTTCTAAATAAAGCCCAATTTTATGTTCAGTAATATTTCCCATCTTCAATGATTGATAATGCTGTCGCTTTTATCCCTACATTTCTGTTTGAATTACGATGTTTCCCAGGCATCTGCCCTATTCCAATTGATCGTTCTATTCTCTGGCCAACACCTCGTTGTTTTTATTACTGTAGATTTGTAATATTTTAATATCCAATAGGTCCCTCTCTTTGTTCACCTGTTATTATTATCAAGTACAAATGAACAGACATTCTTCACAGCTTTTCCACTTTGGCTTGTTCTATGTAATTTATCCTCTAAGTCCCCTCTGGGCCTGGGCCTTTTCTCTGCTTTCTGCAAAAGCTTCCTTTGTGGGGCTGCCATGTATGGATGTGCAGGTTGTACACTGCACAAGCACTGATTGCCAGTCACATCACAGTCCTATATATCAGATTTTCATATTTACTATATTTTATTGGTTTTCAAAGATGCACACTGGTTCTCATTTCTACCACTCTGAAATTGGGGTGCACCTTACATGGATGGTGTGTATTAGCTTCGTTAGCGGTGTGAGAAAAACCATGATGTTGTACTGTTTCTGGCAAGGCCACACAGCTAAGAAGTGGCAGAGCTGGGATGTGAAGCCAGAGGGACAAACTCACCACTCTAATTTAATGCAGAGATGGGTACCCCATTTTGGAAGGGTACCCCAGGTCCAGTCATTTGAAGGAAGAAAAAAAAATGTGACCACTCGTGTGGGGGGGTGTGAGCAAAAGCATGTGAGTGGGGTGGGCCCAGGGGAAACCAGGGATTGCAGCCCCTGGGGAGGCACCAGGACCCACCACCCAACCTCTTGCCCAGCTGTTCCTCCTGGAGGAGATGCGAGAGCGAAAGTTCGACGGCTTTGCCCGCACCATTCAGAAGGCCTGGCGGCGCCACGTGGCAGTCCGGAAGTACGAAGAGATGCGAGAGAAAGGTGAGAGGCTTTGTTCAGGTGGGAGGCTGAGGGTTGGGACGGACAGACCTGGAGAAGCCCGGCCACGATCTCCACCCCCACCCCCACCCCGTGTCCCCACAGCTTGCAATATCCTGCTCAACAAGAAGGAGCGGAGGCGGAACAGCATCAATCGGAACTTCGTCGGGGACTACCTGGGACTGGAGGAGCGGCCGGAACTGCGCCAGTTCCTGGGCAAGAGGGAGCGGGTGGACTTCGCTGACTCGGTCACCAAGTATGACCGTCGCTTCAAGGTGAGGCACTAGCGGGTGGGCACACCTGAGACCCCGGCTCCAGCCTGGCACCCACACCAGAGATACACCCTAACCTGGCCCAGATGTACCTGTCCACAGGTACATATTCCCCCAGCCTAGATCCCATGACAGTACACTCTGACCTGGCACAGACATACCTGCCCACAGGTACACACTCAACTATGGTAGATACAGCTGTCCATCAAACATGCCCTCATGTAGCCCAGACATACCTGTCCATCCGATACACCCTCACCTGGCCAGACACAACTGTCCACAATTAACACATTCACCTTGCCCAGAAGCCCTGACCACAGGGCCACCCTCATCTGTCCTGGACACATCTATCCATTAGGTACACACCCTCACCCAGGCTAGAACACCTGTCAATTAGATATACCTTCACCTGGCCCAGATGCACCTGTCCACAGGTACACTCTCACCTGACTCAGGCAGCCTAGTCCATAGGTACAATGCCCAACTGGCCCAGACAGCCACTGACCAGGTGCATACTCTCAACGTGGTCCAGACACTTCTGTCCACAGGGATATACCACGTGACCTGTGCACGCACACTTGGCCTAAACAGCTGGGGACCTCCACCACAGATACATCTAATCACCTAGCCCGGACATTCCTATCCACAGGTACCCCCACACCTGGCCTGTGTACTCTCAACTAGGCCAGACATTCCTGTCCAGCAGGTACACTCTCACTTAGCCCTTATCACATCTCATGTCCCAGACACTGTCATCTAGCCCAGAAACACCCTACCCCCACCTTAGAGAGCCCTACATGGGAGTTACACACTGAGATAACCTATATACCTTTACCCAGATAGACACTCTCACACGGCCTGGACACCCCACCTTGCCTTGGACAAGTTTATGTGACAGGTACACCCTCCCGTGGTCTGTACAAACTCACAGCCCTGACCTCCTTACCAGGCTTGGGTATCTTCACCTGACCCCTACACCTTTACCTGCTTTGGACAGGAGTATGTGGCAGGTACACCCTCTCAGCTGACCTGTATACATCATCTAGGATATGTGCACCCAGGTGGGTATCCCCACTGGACCCAGCTGTGCGCACAGGCACAGCTCAGCAGACTTACATATATATTCACACTTCCACCAGGTACACCCTCACCTGCCTTCCTGTACAAAACCATACAGTTCAGACACACACCTGCTGCTTACTACCTCTCATGACCCAGAGGTCTTACCTAGCTACCTGACTTGCACACCCTCACCTGAACCATAATATCTTTACCTGAGCTGGCTACAGTCATATGACTCAAGCACTTTTACCTGGTCCAATGGCTCTCACCTGGCCCAGACACTCGTGTCCAGCAGATGCTCCACCTACCCTGTACCTGGTCACTGGTCCAGACACCGCTTTCTAGCCAATACAGCCTCGCTTGACCTCCTTCTGTTCTTTATATAACTTAACGACTTATACACCTTCACCTGGAGGGACCCCCCCCACTCACCTGACCTGGACAGCTTCCCCTGACTTGCCAGCACCGCCCCTCTGCCTGGGGTTGACCCCGTGGGGCCAAAGCTCCAGCCACCAGCCTCTGGTCCTGCGTCCTCACAGCCCATCAAACGGGACTTGATCCTGACACCCAAGTGCGTGTATGTGATTGGGCGAGAGAAGGTGAAGAAGGGACCCGAGAAGGGCCAGGTGTGTGAAGTCTTGAAGAAGAAGTTGGAGATCCAGGCCCTGCGGGGAGTCTCTCTCAGGTGAGGCCAGGCCCCTCCCTGCCGCACAGTCACCCTCACCTGTCCCCTTGTGATCATAGCTGTCCTCGTTGCCGTTACCCCACCTCTTACCCTGACGACCTTACCTGCTGCTATACCTGCAGGCGTCTCTTGGCCCTACCTGTCAACGTTCACCTGTCCCGACACTCATGATCCGTACTTGCCAACAGCGTCAGTCCCCGTACCTTAGCCTCCTCCTCCTACCACACCTCACCTGGCCTTGCCGCCTTCCTTCCCCTGCTCCCCCGACCTGTGTTGCCCCCTTACGTGGCACTATCCTGTTGCATCTATCTCAGAAGTTCGTTCTCCCGCCTACCTTCCCTGTCGCTCTCACCTGCCTTTCCTCCCGCCCCTCCCCAGCACGCGGCAGGACGATTTCTTCATCCTGCAAGAGGACGCAGCTGACAGCTTCCTGGAGAGCGTCTTCAAGACCGAGTTCGTCAGCTTACTGTGCAAGCGCTTCGAGGAGGCGGCGGGGAGGCCCCTGCCTCTCACCTTCAGCGACACGTACGGGCCCCGCCCCAGCACAGAGTCCCCCTCGCCCACCCCCCCGGACCCCGCCACCCAAGGGGACCCCTGCGGGCACCCCCAAGCTTCCTCCTCTCCCCACAGACTACAGTTCCGGGTGAAGAAGGAGGGCTGGGGCGGAGGCGGCACCCGCAGCGTCACCTTCACCCGCGGCTCTGGCGAGGTGGCCGTGCTCAAGGCCAGCGGCCGAACCCTCACGGTCAGCGTGGGGGACGGGCTGCCCAAGAGCTCCAGTGAGTCTGCGCGGAACCGGGAGGCGGAGGCGAAGGGGCTGTGGGGAAAAGGCGGGCCCTGGGGAAGGCGGGGCCAGAGAGGGAACCAATCAAGGCTGTGAGGGCGGGGCCAGTGAGGCTGCTTAAGAGTGGGCGAGGGCCATTGAGTGGCGGGTCTAGAGAGACTTGTAAAGAGAAGACGCGGCCTTGGAGCGGTGACCAATGAGTGAGCGAGAAATGAGGAGGGGCGTGGCCAGAGACGCAACCCTGGAACTGGCTAATGATAAGGGCGCATCCTGGAGTGGGCGGGCCCAGGGAGCCGGGGCCTGTGAGTAGGTGAGGTCAGGGGGCGGGACCAATTACTGGGCGGAGCCAACGTGCCAATAACTAAGGGGAGGTGCGGTGGGCGAGCCAGTGTCGCTAAGGGGGCGGGGTCAGGAGGCGGAGCCACAGAGTGGACTGGGCTTGTGGGCGGGGCCAAGAGCCTGGTCTGGCCGCCACTCAAATCCCTGCATCCTTTCCCTTTCCAGAGCCTACGCGGAAGGGAATGGCCCAGGGAAGACCCCGGAGGTCGGCCCAGGCCCCTACTCGGGCGGCTCCCGGACCCCCCAGAGGTGAGGAGACACCCCCTCACCAGGTGTCCCTCTAGTGGGCTCCAGACCTCCAGTCAACGGAATCCCACACGCACAACTGACCACTTTCATCTATGTCCAGAACTCTCTCTCCATAGCTTCAGCTTTCCCACAGAATAAAGGCTGAGCTTTAGTTTGGCGTTGAAACCCCTTCCAAATCCAACCCCAGCTAACCCCTTACCTCTTCTCTCCTCCCACCCTATGCTCCTGTCACGCAAACTACATCTCATTTTGCCAACTCACCAAGTTTATTCTTACCTCCGGGCCTTTGCTTGGTGCTGTCTTCTCTGCTTGTCTCCCAAACTCCCACTCCATTTGTTGAGCTCTTATTCATCCTTTAAGACCCACCCACAAAAGCCCTTCTGCAGAGGAGGGGAAGGGGAAACTTCCCCCTGCAAAGCCTTCCTCTAGGCCCTCCTAGCCCCGCGGATCTCTCCCTCTGGCCCAGCCAGCCATTACCATACTGGGTTGAGAGTGTGGCTGCCTCCTCCCTCAGACTGGGAGCCTGGAGTTGAGTCTTCCTCACATGTTCCTAGCATCACCCTAATAAATGCTCTCATCCTTGCTTCTGCCACAGGCCTGGACCGCAATGGGGTGCCCCCCTCTACCAGAAGGGTCCCCTTGCCACTGGAGATCACATCTGGAGGGGGCTCCCGGAGGCCTCCCCAGGCCCTTCCGTCCTCAAACCTGAGGGCCAGCAGACGCCACCGGGCACAGCCACCCTCAGAGCACAACACAGAATTCCTCAACGTGCCTGACCAGGGCATGGCCGGGTAGGTGGGGTGGGAGGACAGCCCCAGGAGGTGGGCAGGGGATAGGGGAGTGAGTGTCCGGGGCTGTGGTGAGCACCCCCTGTGCCCACAGCATGCAGAGGAAGCGCAGTGTGGGGCAGCGACCCGTCCCCGGCGTGGGCCGACCAAAGCCCCAGCCTCGGACACATGGCCCCAGGTGCCGGGCACTTTACCAATACGTGGGCCAAGATGTGGACGAGCTGAGCTTCAATGTGAACGAAGTCATCGAGATCCTCATGGAAGGTGTGTGGACCAGGGCAGAGGTTGGGGTGAGGGGCATCATCAGAACCCTGATGCAGCCACGCAGCCCCCCATCAATGCACACCCCTCCCATGGGAGAACAGAGATGACAGAACAGCCCGCCCCCCGGCAGAGATGCACTCTTTCATGCTAGCGGCTGCATAGGCTAGGTGGCCCTGGCGCTGGAGACCACCTCCTAAGCCACCCTGGGGGTCAGGCCTCATTTTTCTCACCTGTCAAACATGAGGCTGATAGCAGAACCTGCCTCAAAATCCCTTATGAGTAGGAGAGGTGTCACAGCTGGAAGGCCCAAGCCACCTCCTACTTTAGTCCCCAGGGGGTCCAGAGACTCTGCTGTTGGACATAGGAGCCCTATGAGGGTCAAGAAGACCTGGTCAGGCCAGGCGCAGTGGCTCACGCCTGTAATCCTAGCTCTCTGGGAGGCCGAGGCGGGCGGATTGTTTGAGCTCAGGAGTTCAAAACCAGCCTGAGCAAGAGCGAGACGCCATCTCTACTAAAAACTAGAAAGAAATTAATTGGACAACTAAAAATATATAGAAAAAATTAGCGGGGCATGGTGGCGCATGCCTGTAGTCCCAGCTACTCGGGAGGCTGAGGCAGGAGGACCGCTTGAGCCCAGGAGTTTGAGGTTGCTGAGAGCTAGGCTGACGCCACGGCACTCTAGCCCAGGCAACACAGTGAGACTCTGTCTCAAAAAAAAAAAAAAAAATTACCTGGTCACACCTAAGGGAGAGGGGGGCTGTAGAAGGAGGTAGAAAGAGGGAAGAACACAAGCAAATGCTCTAGAAGGTGAGCCCATGGCTGGGAAAGACCCTATGTCCCTCCCTTTCTCCACCTAGTCCTTCCTTCCTTCCTTCCACCTGTTGACAACTCTCTTTTCGGCCGCTGCCTTGTGCCAGGTCGGGAGCATGGAGATGAACAAGATGGACTACAGAGCAGGCATGAGGGCTTTCTCCAGGGCCAGCTGGGAACCCCCTCAAGCTCTTTTCTCTCCCACAGACTCCTCGGGCTGGTGGAAGGGCCGGCTGCACGGCCAAGAGGGCCTCTTCCCTGGAAACTACGTGGAGAAGATCTGAGTTGGGGACGTGGGATTCTGCCCTCCCTCACGCCCGCCCACCTGCCAGGGAGCCAGGCCCTGCCCATAGGAGCCCCGTTTATCGTGGCTGCGTTAGCCTGAAAGTCCAATCCTGTGGCCTCCAGCCCAGCCCAGACCCTCCCTGGGTCTCAGGGGTCACCGCTGCAGCCCCCTCCCCAGGGTCCCGGTCTCACCCACGTCACACCCATTGCCCAAGTCTCCGTGTCTTCACGTGTCAAATGGAGTTACCAGCAGAATCTACCTCCCAGCTGCTCTGTGATTATGAAATGAATCATGTCCTATGCTGTTGGCAAAGTGCTGGGCATAGTCGGGGGGGGCGCTCTGGACAAGCGTGACTTTGCTCCTTCTCTCATCACTGAGGCAATAAACGTTTGCCGGGTGAAAGCATGAGTTAGCCTGAGTGCCCGGCGACGCTCTCACAACCCTGTGAGGCAGGAAGCATGAATGTTCCCATTTCACAGATGGAAAAATGGTCAGGACTTAATGTGACAACATTCGATGGCCCAGGACGGACATCCGCAGCCCCTCAGAAAGAAGACAGTCTGGGAGAGAAGGGGACAGACTGGTGGGGGCAGGAGCAGGGGCTCGGCACTGAGCTAGAGAAGGGACAGGTGCTGCGATTGGTTCTCAACAGCCCTTTTTATGGTCAATCATTATGTGGATGGAGAAAAATCCAAACTCTAAAATCATTTAAAGAGATTTATTCTGAGCCGAATGCATGCAACTGAGTCCCAGGGTAGGGGGGACGTTCTCAAGACGACTTGAGAAAATGCACCCAAGGGGGTTGGATTACAATTCAGTTTCACACATTCATGGGGACAGGAATTACCGGTAAAATCATAAATCAATACACAGAAGGTGTACATTGGTTTGGCCCAAAAATCTCAAAATGGGAGCTTACATGTCATAGGTGGGTTTTAAGGATTCTTTAGTTGACAATTGGTTGATAGAGTTAAGTTTTGGCTAAAGACCTCGAGTCAGTGGAAGGGAATGCTTAAGATAGGGGTCTGGAACCAGTGTGGTGGCTCACGTCTGTAATCCTAGCACTTTGGGAAACTGAGGCAGAAGGATCACTTGAAGCCAGGAGTTTGAGACCAGCCCAAGCAAGCGTGAGATCCCATCTCTACAAAAAATAGAAGAATTAGGGTGTGTTGGTGCATGTGCCTGTAGTCCCACCTACTCGGGAGGCTGAGGCAGGAGGATCGCTTGAGCCCAGGAGTTTGAGGCTGCAGTGAGCTATGATGATGCCACTGCACTCTAGCCCAGGACAACAGAGTGAGACCCTGTCTCAAATAAAAGAGTCAGGCTGGTCTCGAACTCCTGGCCTCAAGCAATCCTCTCACCTTAGCCTCCCAAAGTGCTGAGAATACAGGTGTGAGCCACCGTGCCTGGCTGTGTTTGGCATATTCTAACAGACAGTGTCTCCTATCTAGGTTACGGACATCTTCAGACTGCCAGCCTCGGTCACCTTGGCCCCGCCCACTCCTCAACCCCACATCCTGTTGACTTTTTCACAAAATTTCTTAAGTCCTGTCCCTTCTCTGCTTTCCTTGGATTCCTGTCCCTTCTGCTGCCTCACCCCATCCTTCCCTGGGTTTCATCAGCCCCACCTGCATACACACACCCCTCTCCATCCTGCATCAAAATGATCTTTGGTTTTGTTTTTTAAAGTAAATGAATCTTTAACTGAATGTATGATAATGAAAAGAAAAAAATGTAAATTCAAACAACACAAATGTGTAAAAAGTCAAGTCTCTCTCCTATTCAAACATCCCTGTTCCAGCCAGGCGGGGTGGCTCGTGCCTGTGATCCCAGCACTTTGGGAGGCTGAGGTGGGAGGATCGCTTGAGGCCAGGAGTTTGAGACCAGCCTGAGCAACATAGCAAGACCCCATCTCTCCAAAAAATTTAAAAATTAGCTGGGCGTAGCAGTGCGTGCCTGTGGTCCCAGCTACTGGGGAGGCTGAGGCAGGAGGATCACTTGAGGCCAGGAGTTAAAGGCTGCAGTGAGCTATGATGACACCACTCAACTCCAGTGTGGTCGGCAGTGGGAGAGCCTGTCTCTTAAGATAAAATAAAATCCCTGCCCCGCCCCCAGTTTTTAAATGTCTCCTTCTAAGGGTATTCTCTGCCCATAGGTACATCTCATTTCACAGATGGAAATACATTGCGCACAAAGTCTACACTTCTAGAATGCAAGGAACACCTCTTGAATGGTTGAATAATGTATTGGAGATTTAAGATCTGAGATGTACTTTATCATTAACCCAACAGCCCATCCTCCATATGACTGCCAGGGATCAGATAGTGCACCTCCCTGCGCTAAAAAGTCATCAGTGGTTACAACACTGAAACCGCACTCCCTCCCTCTCTCCACCACCCACAAAGCCCTGTGTGACCTGCCCTGCACCGTATTCACTTTTTGACCTCCACAACCCGCTTTCATTCTGTTCCAGCAGTGCACTGGTCCCCTCTTTGCTTTTTTTTTTTTTTTTTTGACACAGAGTCTTGCTCTGTTGCCCGGACTAGAGTGCCATGGCATCAGCCTAGCTCACAGCAACCTCCAACTCCTGGGCTCAAGCGATCCTCCTGCCTCAGCCTCCCGAGTAGCTGGGACTACAGACATGTGCCACCATGCCCGGCTAATTTTTTCTATATAGACTTTTTTTTAGTTGTCCAAATAATTTCTTTCTATTTTTAGTAGAGACGGGGTCTCGCTGTTGCTCAGGCTGGTCTCGAACTCCTGACCTTGAGCGATCCACCCGCCTCGGCCTCCCAGCATGCTAGGATTACAGGCGTGAGCCACCGCGCCCAGCCTCCCTCTCTGCTTCTTGACAAAGACAAGCCCCGTCCCTCCCTACCCTAGGACATTTGCATCAGCTATCCCTACAGCGCTCTGCTCCCCTGACGTTCCACCGGCTCATTCCTGGACCACCAGGCAACAGCTCAGAAGTCACCTCAGTAGAGCTCAGAAGGAGGCTTCCCTGACGCATGACCATAGCATCCTTCTGTTTTCTCCTTTGCACTGAATTGTTGATTTATTATCTGTTTCCCCATTTTATTTTCTTATTTATTTATTTAGAGAAAGGGTCTCCTTCTGTCGCCCAGGCTGGAGTGCAGTGTCCTGATCATAGCTCACTGAAGCCTCGAACTCCTGGGCTCAAGCGATCCTCCTGCCTCAGCCTTCCCAGGAGCTGGGACTACAGGCTTGCGCCACCATGCCCAGCTAAGTTTTTTAATTTTTTATAGAGATGGCATCTCGCTATGCTGCCCAGGCTGGTCTCAAACTCCCAGCCTCAAGCGATCCTCCCGCCTCAGCCTCCCAAAATGCTGGCATTACAGGCATGAGCCACCTTGCAGGGCCTGTTTTCCCATATTAAAATGTGAGCATGCCCGGAAGACAGCGATTCTTTGTCCTGTTCACTGTGGGTCCCCAGCCCCTAGACCAGCGCCTAGCACACAGGAGAGCCACCTCCAGGAAGCACACCTCTCCAACCTGAGGCTACACCCCTTTATTAAGCCTGAGGACTGACAGTTTGTTTTCCGCCCTTGGCTATTACAATGGACCGGTTCCAACTGCAGAACGAGGTGCACTGAAAGTTTTAATAAACGTTGCCAATTTCCCTCCAAAGAGACGACCCAATCGAGCAGAAAGACAACTGCTGTTAATCGCCCTTCCAGAGCCGGAGACGGGGGGCGGGAGGGGATGAAGGTGCCCATTTTGCAGACGAGGACACCGAGGCCCAGAGAGATTCCTCATCCCGGCTATCTGTGCGCACGGACCCCGTGGAAGGTGCGCTGTAGCACTGCCCTCGGCTTGCACGTCGACACCCGCGTCCACGCTGCGGGCTAGACCAACCAGGGCCTCAGGCCCCGCCCCCTCACGGAGCGCCCCGCGCAGGCCCCGCCCCTATTCTCGCGAGAGCCGGGAGGCGGAAAATGGCGCCGACGTGAGCGCGAGCCCGCATCTCCGATAGGGTATTCGCCACCTCGATCGGAGTCGCCGGAGCCACCGGAACAAGAGGCTGAGCTGCGTGGAGGATGGTGAGCGCGGGGGCGCGGGCGCGGGCGCGGCGGAGCAGCTGGGACTGGCGGGGAGCGGCCCTGTAGCGCACACACCCTCCGGCCGACCCCGCCCCCACATCCGGGCACCCGCCCGCCGCGGGCTGTCACTCGGCGAGCGCCCGACCCCTACTTCCGGACCCGGCTTCGACTGGGCCACGCCCACCAGACTCGGGCTCCGCCCCTAAACCTTACACCTCTGGGCCCCCAGCACCTCCAAGATCGTCTACACAGCTCGAGGCCGCTCGGTATATCTCGGTCCTCAAATAATCCATTTCTGGCCCCTCCACTATCTTCCTAGCGGCGCCGGATCCACAGCCCCGCCCTCCTAGCCGTGACCCCGCCCAGTCCCTCTAGGCCACGCCCCTGTCATATTTGGGGCCTCCCACTTTCCCAAATCTGGGGGGAGAGGATGCTTCTCATATGCGGAATTAGCTCAATCCACCCTTACCCCATTTGCCCTCTTGCTTGTGATTCCTTAGTGTCAACAGAAAAAGCCAAACTGTAAAATAATTTTTTTTTTTTTTGAGACAGAGTCTCACTGTGTTGCCTGGGCTAGAGTGACGTGGCATCATCCTAGCTCACAGCAGCCTCAAACTCCTGGGCTCAAGCAATCCTTCTGCCTCAGCCTCCCGAGTAGCTGGGACTACAGGCATGTGCCACTATGCCCAGCTAATTTTTTTTCTATGTATTTTTAGTTGTCCAATTAATTGCTTTCTATTTTTAGTAGAGACGGGGTCTCGCTCTTGCTCAGGCTGGTTTCGAACTCTTGAGCTCAAACAATCCGCCCGCCTCGGCCTCCCAGAGAGCTAGGATTACACGCGTGAGCCACCGCGCCCGGCCTGTAAAATAATTTTAAAAAGATTTATTCTAAGCCAAATTTGAGGACCTTGACCCAGAGCCACCCCCAAGAAGCCTTGAGCAAGTGGACTTGCTGTGGCTGGGTTACAGTTTGGTTTTATACATTTCAGGGAGACAGGGGTTACAGGTAAAGTCATAAATCAATACGTGGGAGACAAAAGGTGGGTTTAAAGATTCTTTGACTTGTTAAAGACAGGAAGCTTTGTTTAAAGGTTTGGAATGTTTTAATATAAGGAGCTGTTAATCAGAGATAAGCCACCAGACATACATTTTTTGTGCAAATTGAGGACCTGCAGGTTTGTCTTGCATACCCTTAGGCCTGTTAATGGGTTACAAAGGATGTCTCCTAGAAGGAAGGGGGCATGATGAGGCATGTCTGACCTCCCTTCTCGCGGCAGGCAATTTAGTTTTAGGATATTCCTTTGGCCAAGAGGGGGTCCATTCAGTGAGCTTGTGGGGCGTGAGCCTTAAGATTTTATTTTAGTTCACATCAGGATGAGTACTAACTGGGTCATGGGGGTGGGAGGAATGTTGAGCCCATTCAACAGGTCCTGGCGGGGTGGGAGGGGTTCCCTGGCTGACCCAGGCAGACCCTGAGCCCAGAAAGTTGCTTTCCACCTCTTCCTTCCACCAGGAGGAGGAACCCTCGGGGCCCAGCCCGGAAATGCTGGCCACTGAAGAGCCCAGCTCCAATGAGACAGACAAAGAGGTGTTGTCCCCG